CTCAAGCGATCCTCTCCACTCAGCCTCCCAAGTAGCTAGAACCACAGGCATATGCCACCACACCCTGCTAATTTTTTTTATGTTTTGTAGAGAAGAGGTCTCACTATATTGCCCAAGCTGGTCTCAAACTCCTGGGCTCAAGCGATCCTCCCGCCTTGGCCTCCCAAAGTGCTAGGATCGTAGGCTTGAGCCACCACCTCTGGCCAGAACTTCTTGTCTGCTCCCTCTCTCCCACTCCATCTCCTCCTCTCAGACATCTGCACATTTCTGATTTTATGTCCTCAATCTTTCTCAAATCCATTTCTTCTCTCCTTACCACTGGTTCCTGCCCTGATTCAGGTCTTTATCATCTGTCCCTGGAGCTTGGCATCTTCTTGACTGGTCTCTGCCCTGTCAAATCCACCCTCCATGGCACAGCCAACCATAAAGCCGAGCCCCCCACCCACCTGCTGGGACTCTCCAGGACTCCCAGTGACCAGTAGGGTGCAGTGCACATGGTAGCCCATGACTCCCCCAGGCCCTCCCCTCCCGGCCCACCAGCCAGCGTCCCACTGCTTCCTGGATCCTACTTGATCTTCCAGCAAGGCCAAACGACATGAGGTTCTGCACCTACATCGGGTTGTCTCTCCCCTCAGAGCTGTTTTTCAGGCTGTCCACTCCCTCACCATTCCTTCTCCCACAACCTAGTGCAATCCAATGCATTTCTAAACACTTAATTCAGATTTCAACCCCTCCAAGAAGCCTTCCCCGACACCTCTCTCCCGCTCATTTTCTACTTGAGAATCCTCCAGCATTAAATACAACATCATGTGTTCTGGATATCTGCAGAGGAGTCTATTTCCCCCATTGTTATGAAGATTCTTGACAGCAGGGGATATATCTTATTTGATGTGGCGTATACCCACTGCTGGCACAGAGGAGATTTTCAAAACCCAGATGAATGAATGCATGAATGAATGAGTAAAGGACAAACGAAGGGGTATTGACTGAGCCACTTTTGTGTTAGAGCCTCGGAGAGAGCAGACTCTTCCCCCACATTACCATGAGAAGGGCCCAGACCAGAATTCCCTCCAATGCATTGCACTTGCCATGTCTAGAAGCCACAGCCACTTTATTGGTTTTTCTCGGGTTTTGTTTGTTTGTTTGTTTGTTCTTTGTTGTGGTGGTGGTTGTTTGTTTGTTTGTTTGTTTTTGAGAGGGGTTTTGCTCTTGTTGCCAGGCTGGAGTACAATGGCACGATCTTGGCTCACTGCAACCTCCACCTCCTGGGTTCAAGCGATTCGCTTGCCTCAGCCTCTCAAGTAGCTGGGGTTACAGGTGCCCGCCACCACGCCCGGCTAAGTTTTTGTATTTTTAGTAGAGACAGGGTTGCACCATGTTGTCCAGGCTGGTCTCAAACTCCTGACCTCAGATGATCCACTTGCCCCGGCCTCCCAAAGTGCTGGGGTTACAGGTATGAGCCACCGTGCCCGGCCTGGTTTTCTGATTTTCATCTTAGCCCCTGCTAGGCAGCATATGGGAGTGTCTACCATACAGTAGTTGTGTGACCCTCGTTACTTATCCTTTCTAAGCTTCAGGTTGCCATATGTTAAATGGACTCTATTTTAGTATCTACCGAATAGAATTCCTGGGAAAATTGAATGAGATAAAATGAGATGTGTAATCAGAACTCAGTAAATGGTAGATGTAACTAAGCTGGAAAATTGACTGAGAAATACAGGTAGGCGTAGTGGGAGTTCAGAGTGAAGATGTATTGGACAGCTATTGTCTTCAGTAGAACATCTCCCCCTAAAGCCCTAAAGTATTCCTTACATAGTCAATAGCTCTCAGAAGCTCCACTGTCATGATTTTAGTGCTCTGCTACAAAAGGCAGTATTATCCATTTCCTTACCAGTCTCAACCAGTGCACTCAGGATTGCAGTGGGAACAAGAAAAACATGGGGAGAGAAAAAAATCAGTACTGTATACTAGGCCAGGCCTTCCCAAGACTTCAATCAGGCCCCTTGAGAAGCTGTAAATGTTCATCTCCTGGTGCCAAGGTGTAGTGGTGAGAGAGAAGGCCTGGCTCATCATCTTAGGAAATGAAATTAGTTACAAACACATTCATTCCCAGCCCAAATCCAAAAGCTAATCCTCACCCCAGTTCAGTAATTAGTAGGTGACAGTTTGGAGATTTGAGCCTACAGATTCGAAAAGTCTGGGACTGGAGGTCAAGATCGTGATTTCTGTTCCTGGATTCCCCATGGCCTGGCAAGCCACATCCATCTTCCTCACTCACAAGAGTGTCAGCAGGAGACCAGGGAGGCCTGAATCTCCTTGGCTTCAGTGTCAATCAACAAGTTTTCAATGGGCAACTGCAGGGTGCTTGCTACCCCATGCTAGGTCCTTTGGGCAATCCTTGCAGATTTACAAAGTACAAAAAGAAAACATGACACCAAAAGCAAAGATAGTTAGAGCCAGTAAGACTAATGTGGTGAGTAGAGGCCATTGTGTGTTGGAGCCAGCTCTTACGGACTTCCTGAGAGCCGATGGTTAATATTTCAGAAATTTTGCAAGCCACTTGTTAAATTAGCAGCAGTTTGAAATCACCCATGAGTATTTTCACCAGAGTATTTGTAGTGGCAGGCACTACAAATCAAGGTTTCTCCCCACCCCTCCAGAACTGGTTTCCCAGCACTCCAATAAGGAGTTCCCAAAATATAAGACTTTAAGGCAGGCGAGGGGAGTGGTTTTGCATGCGGGCTATGAAATCACATAGACCTAGGTTAAAAATCCCAGCTCTACTAGCTGGATGACCTGGGACAAATTACTAAACCCCTCTGAGCCTGTTTCTTCATGTGTATAGAGCTCACATGTATTCAACGCTTACTATGTACCAGATATTATTCCCAACATTTATACATATTAATGCATTGATTCCTTGAAACAACCCTAGGAAGAAGAAATTATTATTATCCCCATTCTATAGATGGAGAAAATCAAGCCCAAGAGAGATTCAGGAACTCCACCAATATCACACAGCTAGTCAGGGGCAGAGCTGGGATACAAAGACAGGCATCTTGCCCCAGAGCCTGCCCTCTCACCATCTAGCTCCTCACTGCCCGATACAGGAGCCACTGGCTGCATGGAGCTATCAGGTACTTGAAACAGGGCTGGTGTGACTTGAGAAGTGCTGTAAGTGTGAAATACACATTAGATTTCAAAGACCTCATGTAAAAAAATATATAAAATATCTTGCTAATACTATATCACTTACTTATAGAAATGATAATATCTTGGATATATTGAATTAAATGAAAGATATTATTACTATTCATTGTACTTGTTTCTTCTTAATTTTTTTCTTTTTTTTTATTTTTATTTTTTTGAGATGGAGTTTCACTCTTGTCACTCAGGCTAGAGTGCAGTGGCATGATCTCACCTCACCACAACATTCACCTCCCAGGCTCAAGAGACTCTCCTGCCTCAGCCTCCCGAGTAGCTGGGATTACACGTGTGTACCACCATGCCCAGGTAATTTTTGTATTTTTAGGAGAGATGAGATTTCACCATATTGGCCAGGCTGGTCATGAACTCCTGACCTCAGGTGAACCGCCCACCTCGGCCTCCCAAAGTGCTGAGATTACAGGCGTGAGCCTCCATGCCCAGCCTCTTTTTACTTTTTTTAATATGAGCTGTAGAAAATGTTAAGTGATGTTTGTGATTCACACTACATTTCTGTTGGGGGGTGCCCCTGGCTAGTGCCCTAAACTCCTAGTTTGGTGGATGCATTAAATCAGTTAATGCAAGGAGGACACCTAACACGCTGCCTGAAACAAATTAAGCACCTAATAGCTATTATTCATATTAGTGAGAGGACTGGTTTTCAAATGTTGTAGTCCAGTATTTTTTTTCCCCCCCCAAAAAAAAAAAAAAAAAAAGGTTTTTCTAAATTTTTTAAGAGAAAAGTTCTCACTCTGTCACCCAGGCTGGAGTAGAGTGTTATGATCATAGCTCACTGCAGCCTTGAACTCCTGGGCCTAAACGATCCCTCTGCCTCAGCCACCTGAGTAACTAGGACTACAGGCACACGCCAACACACCCAGCTAATTTTTTTAATTTTTTGTAGAGACAGGGTCTATTTTCCCTAGGTTGGTTTTGAACTTCTGGCCTCAAGCAATTCCCCCACTTCAGCCTCCCAAAGTGTTGGGATTACAGGCGTGAACCACCGTGCCCGGCTCGCAAACAACTTCTTATAACAGATTAAAGAGGAGTTTTGCAGTAGCGTAGAGCTTCGAGGAGCCCTCTCCAGGAGCCCAGTCACCCTGGGCACCACCTCCACAAACTGGAAAACCCACACGATGGCATAATCTTTAAGTGTCCTTCAAGCTTTAGCGTTCCCTATCATTCCAGAGAAGTTAAGAAAGTGGTATGGGAAAGAATTAAGGTGTCCGCGGCAGTATATTACAATGATTATGGAAAAACATTCCCATTTTGCTTGGGAAAATCAAAGTGGCTTGGTCCCAGGTCTAGGCACAGCCCAGAAATGGGAGCATCACCAATGCGAATTGGGGGTCACCTGTGGGCTCCTGGATCGTTACCTATACACGTTCGCACGGACAATACCAATGCACCATGTCACCTCTCCGTTTCAGCTGGGTCACAACCTGCCAGATCCCCACCCACCCAGAACCTGGGCAGACCAGACACAGGCTCTAGGCAGGCGCCAATGTCCTAGTCTAGCTCCAGGGCCGGGCAACAGTGACACTCAGCCCAGGCACCACAATGATTTTGCTGTCCTGAAGGCAACTTAGGCTCAACCAGTCCTGGTGTCTGCCAGGCAGGCTCCCAACTCTGCCTCCAGCCCTCGCCCCTGGCTCTGGTATCATATGTGTGGAAGGGGAGAGCAGCCAACTCTTCGCCGGGCTCTCTAACAAGTTCCGCGGGTCTGTTTGTTAAAGAAAAAATTCCAGTGGGTGCATCCAACACATGGAACTCAAGTACAGAAATTATATTTATCCGCCCCACTGCCAAGGAGATCACATGCCCCGTGAGTCACTCCAGATGTGCTCAAAAACAGAGTCTCTCTGTGGAAGCCCAGTCCCCCAATCCCAGAGAGAGTCAAATGAAGAGAGGTACCGACTCCTGTCCCACCCAGGACGCAGCCTTCAGCCTCCAGCCTTCTGAGGCAGAGTAGGCATTTCTGCACGTCTGCAAAAGGAAGGGAGGGAAGCACTCCATCATCTCACTGGGAAGAACAGCGCGGGCATACCTGCAGCTACTGGGGTTCCATTGGGCTTGAGGGTCGATTCGTCACCTTTTGAAGGACAAGATGCATTGGAAGATGTTGCTGCTTCTGCTGTTGTATTCCAATGCTCAGGCTTCCATGTGCCACAGGTGGAGCAGGGGTGAGTTGCTTTTTATTCATTTGTTTGTCTGATGCTCATTATTCTTTTTTAAATGTAATTCAAAATTTGGAGGGAAGGACATTAGAAGCCCCGCACTCTCCTTTTATCTAATCTCTGTCAATTGCTTGATGCTTCTTGACATGTTCCCCCTTCTTAGAGGGTGATGGGGAAATGACACTGGAAAAAAATCAAAGCCCCTGAGGGAGCTAGGTCGAGGTGGAGAACCCAGAGAGCATCCCTTTCTGGTATCCCAGAGAGAACTCATTTCTGCTTCATAGAAAGTAGAACTCATTTCTTCGACTGCCCCCACCACCTGCAGCAGTTGGGCCAGACCATCTGGAGAGCAGGTGCTGAGGTCTGCTGCTAAAATGATGGAGTGATGGGGGCTGGGATGCCAAAGGCCTGCTCCCTGGGGGAACGAGAGCAGAAGATCTACAGGACGTTGCCTCCTCACCGGGAGGGGATGCATCTCTGCAGCCAGAGGTGGGCAGGTGAGGAGAGCAACCCTTCAGCCTCCGCCGCACCCACCGGCCCCACCACCTCCTCACAAAGGAAGGGGCCCCAGCAAAGGCTGTTCTCTCATCACTGACTTCCTCCCTCTCAGGATGTAGTTCCTCCTAGCTGGATGGCATCTTTTCTCCATTTCCCTGGGACTGGCTCTGCTTGGTAGACACCGGGAGCACCTCGAGCCAGAGTTTATCACTGTTAGGAAAGGAGGTACCCACAGCACTGCCCACTCTTCACCAATATGAACTGAAATCTTTCCACTGCCTAAAGTCAACTGAGTTCACTCTCCCAGAAAGAACTGCAACAAGAATGGGCTCCTTCAAGTCAGGCCAGTAGGTGTTTCTAGAGATGCAAAATTGGAAGGCAACTGGCATGGTGGCGTGGACGCACCTCCTGCTGGCTTCTCAAGGACCGTGTCAGGGAAGGAAGGAGTGGCCGGAGTGGGGATAGAGCAGCGCAAGAGAAGGATCTGAAATGGGAGGGAGGCAAAAGCTACTGTACTTATGCTGGGTTTCATTTCCTCACGGTTCAACCTGATGTTAGAGACTTACATCTCTAACAGGGATATAAGTCTTTTGAGCTGAGCTGTGAAGTGATCATTGCCCAGAAACAAATAATACAGCATTCTTCATTTTTCTCATAACAACATTGCATACACATGCACATGCACATGTACACCCCTCCCTTTTCCTTTTTTAATTTTTAATGTTTAATTTCTGTGGGTACATAGTTGTTTGTATTGCTGGGGTCTATTAGATGTTTTGATACAGACATGCAGTGAATAGTAATCACATCATGGAAGATGGGGTATCCATCCCCTCAAGCATTTATCCTTCGTGTTACAAACAATCCAATGATACTCTTTTATTATTTTTGTTATTTCTTTACTTATTTATTTTTGAGATGGAGTCTCAGGCTGGAGTACAGTGGTGCAATCTCAGTTCACTGCAACTTCTGCCTCCCAGGTTCAAGCAATTCTCCTGCCTCAGCCTCTGGAGTAGCTGAGATTACAGGCACCCGCCACCACACTTGGCTAATTTTTGTATTTTTAGTAGAGATGGGGTTTCACCATGTTGGCCAGGCTGGTCTCAAACTCCTGACCTCAAGTGATCCACCCACCTCAGCCTCCCAAAGTGCTGGGATTATAGGTGTGAGCCACAGTGCCCGGCTCTCTTTTAGTTCTTTTTAAATATACAATTAAGTTATTATTGACTATAGTCACTCTGTTGTCACACATCCCTGTTCATGATGTGCACAAACTTTGAGGTAGTACTTGGAAGTAAAAAGCAAAGAGATCTTGGAGTTGGGTTCTGTCGCTCCCCTCTTTGTCACACTGGGGATTTGCTTATTAAACGGGATAATAATGCCCATTCTTCCTAATGCACAGGCTGTTACAAAGCCAAAAGGGATCATTTGACTTGCAATATGGCTTATAAACATAACAGCCACATCATGAGCTACTCTGCAAGGGACCTGATTTAAGTTCCATCTCTATTTGGCAGTGTGATCTCAGACAAGTCTCTTAACCTCTCTGAGCTTTAGTTCACTAACAGGTGACATTAACATCCATCACATCAATAAAACTCACCCTCATTGTGTTACTGTGAGGGTCATATTCAAAAATATAGAAGAAAATGCTTTGTAAATGACAAAGCACAATATAAATATTAGCTATTGCCTACCCATTTTTGAAAAATAAAAATTTTTCATTAAAGGAAGTTTGAGGCTCTTAACAGGGGAATCTACAGCAACATTCTGGGAGCAGCTTCTCTGGACCATGTCCTTCCACATCGGGGAAGGTCCTTCCACAGTGAGTTCACAATCCACTGACTCAAAGCCAGCCCATCTGATATCGAGGCCACTACGAGGCAGCGGATGTGACGTGCTAGATTAATGGCTCAAGTCAGCACTCAGAGTCAACAAATGATATGGAGTCCCTCCAACCATCATCAAATGTCTTCCACGTAGCTGATTTTTTTTTTCATTTTTAACATTTTTTTCTAATTATAAAAGAAATACACAATTCTTGCCATCTTTTTTTTAAGACAGAATAGGAGTCACACCCAAATGAATAACAGTTTTTCCAAATGTATTATTCATTTCACCTTCATCCTTACCCCCACCCTACCTCCAGCCTCAATTCAAAGTACTCCCTTTGGAAAGTCTTAGGGCAATCTCTTCCTGAGATTTTCCTCTTCCACCCCCTGCCCTTCAGCACCCCGCCCCACTGCTACCCCATGTCCATCCTCCTACCCTCCTGCTCCAACACGTAGAAATGTAGACGTAAACCCACAGGCAATATGCACCCTGCTGTTAGGACTGTCTTTTTCCTACCATCCTCCCAGCCTTTCCCTAAGCGCTCTCTAGGATTCCACCCTGGGAGGCAGCTTTCCATGCCAGGATCCAGGATCACCCATTCCAGCCCCACCAGCTTGATGAAGACCAAATGACTCACCTGTGGCCAAGCCAGGAAAGCCACATCTACACACACACACACACACACACACACACAAACACACACACAGGTGGCCCACGTCCCAGCACATACCAGGTCCTGCCAGGGCACTACTGGAAGGGGGAGGACTAGCCATACTTGAGAAACAAATATGCATCTATTAAGGAATATGAATATCTATGCTTTTGTTGAATACACACAAATTATTTTTTAAGTAGTTTAATAGAGCCGCCCTTCCATTTTTTGATGGAACTTATATCATTTTCAGGTGTCCACTTTAGGGTTGTGTGTGTCCTCAGCCATGAATGTTCCATGAGGGAAAGGCCTGTGGTCAGTACTCAGTAAGTACTCACTGACTGCCAGCCATGGTGGTGCAGGCCTGTAATTCCAATGACTCAGGGGGCTGAGAGGCCAAGAGTTCGAGACCAGCCTGGAAACATAGTGGGACCCCCCTCCCATGTCTTAAAAAATTAAAATTAAAACAAATTAGCTGGGTGTAGCAGCATATGCCTGTAGTCCCAGCTACTGAGAAGGTTAAGGTGGTAGGATCACTTAATGCCAGGAGATGAAGGTGGTAGGATCACTTAGGCCCAGGAGGTCAAGGATGCAGAGAGCTATGATTGAGCCACTTCACTCCAGCCTGGATGACAGAGCAAGACCCTGTGTCCAAAAACAAAATTGTTTTAAGTATTAACTGCCCAAGTGCCCCATACAGAGCCATCTTCTCACTCCACAGTAACTCCATGAGGCAGGTGCTATCCTGGCCATTTACAGGTAAGAAAACTGGAGAGTGAGGCAAGAAGTGAAGTGCCCCAGCTCCCCCAGCTGCAAGGGCAGGATTGAAGTTGATCCCCGAGGTCCATCTGCTGTCACAGTGCCCCATGCTCATTCGTCCGCTCTGCATATTTCTCCATCCCCATGGGCCACTCACCTACTCCCGGCAACCCCAAGCTCCCCCTACGTGGTGGAGCTTTCCAGCCAAGAGGAGCTGGCTGCCACAGCCCTCTCAGGAGCTCTCCCAGAGGACCCCCACGCACAGGGCCGAGACCCTGGCTTGCTCAGAATAGCACTGTGTTTACAGAGGGCTGGTCCAGGAGCCAAAAAGTAAATGACATCCGTCAGATCTGGCAAAAGATCTTTTACAAATGAGAGCTTTTCCTTTCCACACCCACTGTCCTTTCCATCGAGTTGCTTCAACTGATTCATTAAAAATACAGTTGTAGTTTGGCTTGAGATGGTCTGCAGCTTGAATCCTTTCCAACAAGCTATTTGCCACAAATGCTACACACAGTTCTGGGGAAAGCATGATTAGCCTGAATATCGTGCTACTGAACATATCGAAGGGATGGGAGGAAAGAAGAAAGAGACTTTTAACCCAGATTACAGAAAGTCAAAGAGAAGGTCGGGCTGCCCAACAAAGACAGGCTACTCCACTGGAGTGCCTCTGGCTGTTTGTCTAGGCAAGAAAGCTTTGAAGGGCTAAGGTGTGGGGGAGGTAGGGGACAGCACTCACTGAGATCAATTAAAAAATAGCTTCTTCCAGGCCCAAAAAGGGACTCCTCAGGGATAAGGAGAGGGTGTGGTGGAGACAGAAGTCAACATCTACTTTCTGATCATTAGCCAAGACAAGAATCACAAATAAACTATAGATTCACCCTATTAGAAAAGGAAGGATTTTGTAAGGCACTCTATTTGAAAAGAATAGAGCTTAGTGACCAGGGAAGGTAATGTGTTCCTATGGGATTATTTATTCATCTGATGAACAGGAAGGGGCATGATGCTAGGCACTGGGAGTGCAACAGTGAACAAAATAGACAAAATCCCATACCCTCTAGTGAGAGGAAACAGGCAACAAATATATTTATATTTTAAAATAGGTGATTTGTTGGATGATAATAAAGTAGGGACAGAGGCTAGAGAGTCCAGAGGGTTGTAATTTTAAACAGAGTCATCACAAAGAGCGTTTTCCTCCAGCCACATTCAGGTGCACAGGGGCAGGTGTGGAATGGGGAGAGCTGGATTGTGCTTTTGCCAAGCG